TTAACATTTTTAAAGGCGGAATCTAGTCAGGAGCAAAAACGCCACGAAGAACTAGTACAACTAGAAAGAGAGAAGCTAGAAATTGAAAAGGAAAAAATTTCCGTTTTGAGTGCGTTGCGAGAAATTCTGGCGAAGAGAATTTAATTACATTAATTACCTGAAGTATTTGATCTCCTATAAATTGAAATTTTTTTTGCAACCTATTGTACTACAAACATGAATGTGATAGTACAAAAAACATGTAGAACATTTTTTTTGTAATGCTATTTATTTTTAAATAAAAAATGTATGACGAAAATAACATTTTTAATTCATTCCTTCTTATAATACCTTCACTACTCTCGTTAATGTTTTCGGCAACAGCCACTGTATCGTTGTTATATTGATATTGTGGGATTATATAAAATTATGTAACATAGTACAGGCCATTACAATTTTCGAAGCACTCTTTATAGTTGAAACGTCGATGTGATTGAGTATTCTAAATTTCTGCCTTAAAAGGCCGAACGACTGTTCGACTAATACTCGTGTGGAACTGAGGTAGTAGCTAAACTTTTTCTCTTCTGGTGAAAGATGCCCATTATCCCTATACGGGACCATCAAATATTTTGATAGCGGATAGGCCGAATCTGCTAATATTACGGCCGTGATCGCGAGCTAAGCTTCTCCGGAGGTGATCTTTTGGTAAATTGGGCTATTTTGCCAGACGTTGGCGTCGTAACAGCTTCCAGGAAAGCCAATAAAGACGTCTAAAAATCGTCTATCGCAAATAGCCTAGATAGAAAAATAAATCTAAAATTGTATATTGTAATAGGCTATATTTATAATACATCGTTTTACCTGCATAGTTATCGAAAAATTTCCTTTACGATCATAATAGCTGATTGCATCTTTTTTGGGGGTGTTTATTTTACAACCACAATGGAAATGGATTTGTTCTTTTTGATTGGAACTCTTCCATAATTCCTTGTTGCTCCACAAGCGTGGGCCAAAGTATTTCATTTTTTAGTTATATAGCATATGGTTTTGATGGTCATGAAAAAAAGTTAATGTGCTGTTCCTTTTCCAACGCAGAATCGATCAGAGAGTTCTCGGTACGTTACGCGACTATTGCTTACAGCGATTGTTTCAGGGAGTAGCGAGTGTTAAAGGTTAACCAATGCGGCTGCAGAGCATGCGTCAATTTCTAAACAAATCAAAAGCATTGGTTATATTATAAACAATTGGTTTTTAATTACAATACTTACGG